TGTTCTTACAATATATTATTATGCTGAAATTAGATAAAGATAATGACAATCATAGTGTAGAGATACAATTAGACAATAAAATTATAATCATTAATGAGGACATGCTCTTAGTGTTCAGCTGAAATCATTGTCTTATTCGAGTGAAGAATCTTTCTTTTCTGAGATGAGATTGTATATTTTGATCCTCCTCAAAATATATAGTATGAGACTCACTTTTCATTTTCTACCAGAGTACAAATATTTTTTTCTGCTAAAATAAAATCCATATCCATCAATTTTTTTAAAGTGAATTATTATTAATAAATAAGTTTTATAAATTCATATCAATCCTACTCTAGACTGCTTGCTCCTATCATTTGAGTGCAAAAGTTTGAGACTTTTGATTATATAATTATATTAAGAGAGATAGAGATATTCTATGTTTCTTGATTGGGTTTTTTTCGTTAATCAACATTTTATGTTATGTGCGTTTGTTTCAGTATTCATAACTTGAGAGTATATATATTTTTTATTCCTTTTCCTTGGAAATCATATTTTGCAGGACTCGCAGAACTTTGATTCAGGTGTCACCTGAATGCTCTACATAAGTTCCCGATTTGCTGTTATTTTGGTGTTTCTATAATAAAAGCACATTGCCACCAGTTCACCTGAAGTAGGAGTCAAACTAGAAGAAGATGATGATGGTGATATGCTTGAAACAATAACATTAGATGTTACTAGCGTCGTCGTGGGATCCAACAAAATGACAACATCTATGGCTGCATACAGATAAGGCTTAAGGATTTCTCTCTTCCAACAAAATGACAACATCTATGGCTGCATGCAGATATGTGCAGCTGAAAGCTGAAGCCCAAAATAATGACGAAGAATCAATTGAACTGTGGCTAAGTGCTAAGACTGTCTATGTAGACTTCATGTATTTGTGTTCTAGTGTTTTGATTCATGAATGACCATTTGGTGTTGTCCAGAAATAAAGTTATTGTTTAAAGATAACATCTGAGACATGGCGTCAGGATTGCTCTGTTCCAGTTGATCGACAGGACTAGTGATTGGATCTATGTGCAGGTGGCAGTAAAGCTTAAGGTTATGTTGGTCCTTCGAAGTTAGCCGTATCAAAAATCTTGTTTTTCCATGGAATGACGTTATCATATTATGCTGTCACAATAATCATCATAGATTGTCCATATACGTTATATGTATTTGTTTTAGTATCATAACATCTCCATCTATCATCATTTTGCTAAATGATTAATTGCAAGTGCACAATTCTGTCTTCCTTATCTTGGTATCTTTTTTGCCAAAATCAATTATATTTCTTGAGATTATATACAAATTTCATTGTTTCATACAGATTGTTTTCTCCTGTTATTGTTTTTACAATAAAAGAAAAATCAACAATGTTATTATGCTCTAGTGATACAATTAAACAATAAAATCGAGGTTTTGTTTGAGTCACCATTGAATTTCTACAAAAATGTAATAAAATGTTACTTGCAAGAACAAACTGTTGCTAGTCTTACTATTTCTAAAGATCATTTATATAAAAAGAATGTTATATTCATAGAATGGTCTGTCACACTCTGTTTGCTGGTGACATGTTGACATCTAAATGTGGTCAATTAGTGTCCGACCAAATCATCTCGAATTGAGGACATCAAAAATTAAATACCAGTAACCTAAGACTTAATTGGATAGAAAATATCTATGAATTACTTGTCGTGATTACCAAGTTGACTCAAATTATATGAAGAACAACATTATAAAAAAAAAATCTAAGTATGAAAAAAAATCCTTGGCAGTTATGATTTGATTATTCTATACAAGCCTTTTATAACTCGGGATCCTAAAGGGGGTGAGTATTATTGGGTTTTATCTATAATATCATATTTTAAGATATATGTAAAAAGATGTTTAAGAGTTTTTGAAATAAGGTTTGAGTTGAATGAGATTTATTTTATTTTATTTAATTAATTTAATCAATTTATTTCCTTGAAAACTATTCATTACAAAATAACTATCTACTAAATGGAGATAGTTACATATTTTTAGACTCTAGGTAGGTATTATCCTTGAAAACTCATTGACTAATAAGCTCTTATTATAGGTTACTGCTCCTCAAGTTGCATACCTCTTGTTGAATATATTTTTGACTTAGTTTTCTAACTCATTGACTGATAAGTTTTAAGAGTATTGCTTACATGCTATCTAACATATGCATTTATGAGATATTATCGAGTATATCTCTGATTTAATTTTCATGAAGATCATTTGATTGAGTTATGTTATCACGATACTAAACTTGTTAAAGAGGTCATCTCCAAAGAATTTAGTTATGTAACATTGATAAATGTAACAGATAATGAAAATCGATTCGACACTTGAGAAGTGGTATGTAAAAGTTCTAACTACTTTTTGGTGGTAGGAAAATGTATATCCATACTATATTATTAGTGAATAAATTAGAACTTCATTTATAATAATCGAGAAAATATGATTTAGATTGACTAGTCAACAAAATCTCCGACGTTAATGTTACATTTTTATCATGAGTTAATTTTTTTATTTCACGATTAAACTCTTCACATTTAAATCTCCAACATTCCTTAAAATCCCAAGTCTTACATATTAATCAATCAACCCTCATATCTTATATTTTGATTATGGTATGTATCGAAGTCTCCAAGAGATAGATATGTGTCTCAATCACGTTGACTTGCACCCGAGCAACATGATAAGATGCAAGCTTTTGACTTACGTCTCAACCACATGATAGAAGCTTCAATGAGAAGCTGTGACTTCCCTCCATCTCACACCACATGGAAGATAGATGGAAATTTAGGTGTTGAAAGGCATCCATCCATATCAAACCATTCATTACGTCATGAGAAATATCCATGTTTTCCAACGTCAAAAGTCTCCTTGACTTGCACGTCAAGAAAACACAAACATTTACATCCTTTTATGTTTTGTATAAAATTATTTTTTGACAATTTATTCAGAAGAGTCGATCATAATTAGCGTTTATTTGAGAGCATTCTTTTTCTCCGAATTTACTAAAGAGCTTTTTATTTTAGAGATTTATACATAGCTTTACGGTGTGAATCTATCCGAGTTCAATTTAAAAAACCAAAATCTATAAAATAATCTAAAAATAGAAAATCCAATGAAATTATGATTTCGTGTTGTATTTATCTTCTATATTAAAATTGAGTTGAATAATCTTTATGTCATTATACTCATACATGTACCATGTTATATTCGATTACAGAATCAACATAGAAATATATCACTTAAGAAACTCCTAGAATCAACTTAAAAGAACAATGAAATCAACATGTATATCACATTTGCCTGCTCTATTGAAAGATGGAAGTTTGTGTTACACTTGTAATCCTTGGTGCGGGCCACTTATCTGGAATCTCGTGAATGAGATATCCTGTAGACCATAAATTGCTGGTCCAAATTATCCACCCACCTAATGGTATTCTTTATATATAAATAAATAAATAAATAAATATATATATATATATATATATATATATATATATACAGGCATAGTCCAACAAGTTGTGTACGTGCAGTATCCAACACGCCGAAGCGTCGCTTTCCATTCCCCTTCGTGACAGCTAGATTGTGAAATGGACGACATCATGAGTCAACTTGCATGATTTCACTATAACGAAAAGACGCACTGAAACAATGAAATAACAATGGGCACAAAATAAATGATTAAGAATAGATTGCGACTTGTCTTTTACGCGTCTTTAAGAAGATATCTGTTTCCATATTTGATGCTACCATAAAGTCCTACAGCACGCGGAAATTAGCCAAAGAGTACCACCACCATGTTTCCTTCGATCAGCTCCACCCAGTTTCTGCTCCTCTACCTCGTCCTCCTCTTCGTTCCCTCTCCGACCGTTGCCTTCAGGTGGCAAGTTTGCAGCACAAGTGCCGGCAACTTTACTGCCAACAGCACGTATGAGTCCAACCTCAACCTCCTCCTCTCCTCCCTCGTCTCCAATGGTTCCGCTCCTGGCTTCTTCACCGACACCGTCGGACGAATACCCGACCAAGTTCAAGGCATCGTCCTTTGTCGTGGCGATACTAACCCCACCACGTGCGGTTCCTGCCTTAGTAACGTCACGGTGGAGATCCTCCGGCTCTGTGCCTACAACAAGGATGCCGTGGTTTGGGAAGAAGAGTGCCTCCTTCGCTTTTCCAACCTGCAGTTCCTCAACACCTTAGACAACGACCCGACGGCTGCCTTGCCAAACCCGATTCAGGTAAGCGACGAAGCGGATCGGTTCAACAAGGTGGTGAACGAGTTGCTCGACAGCACGGCTGATTGGGCGGCGTATAACTCCACGAAGAGGTACGCGACCGGCCAAGCGTTCAACGTGACGCAGGCGGTTCCAACTATATATGGCCTGGCGCAATGCACGCCGGACATGTCGACGAGTGACTGCAGGCAGTGCTTGAAAGGGGTGTTACAGGGGCTCCCACAACGCCGAATGGGAGCTAGGAATCAGGGAGTGAGGTGCAATATAAGGTTCGAAGTTACCCGCTTCTACGAAGGCACCCCCATCATATGGCTCCTATCACCATTGACGAATGCAACAACGCCTGCGGAGAACGCCACAGCTCCACCCTCTGCTCCAGCAGCCCATCCTGCCGTCGGTCCAACCGGGAAAGAAGGTAAAGATGCACCCTTAGCACAATTAATTAATTAATTAATTAATTAATTACATAGATCCATGGCAAATAGGCGACACTCATTCATTCTATAAGAGCCTAGGAAAGC